ATATTTTTATGTAGTAACATAAGAGCTTGCCTTTTTGCCAGGACATCTGTATCAGTGCAGTGAAAGAGAGAGACATTGAACAAAAGCTCAAGCAAGTAATTAATGAGTGGGACAACAAAACATTCGCATTTGGCAGCTTTAAAACCCGTGGAGAACTCCTCTTGCGAGGAGATAGTACATCGGAAATCATCGCCAACATGGAGGACAGCTTGATGTTGCTGGGGTCTCTCCTGAGCAATAGGTAGGAGAACTAGCTGTCTTTTTCTTTATATCTGAGATCCCTTATGACAGACAGTTTAAGAAAAGACAGTGAAAAATGCATTGCAACAATACCCTCTGTTGGGTCCTTTTATTGGTTACCCAATACCCAATACAATTGATTCAATGTTGAAAATAATGTTGGTTTAATTTAGCTTTTGGCATAGTATGTGTTAACACTAGTTTTATTTAATTTTCCTCCATTCATGGGTTGTGTTTGAAGCCATTAGCTGGGCAAAATAATGCAACATGTAATTAGAGAGCTGGATTCTGGGAACATTTCTGCTTTGCTATTGACAAGCCTATCTGCAGAGCTGATGGCCCAACAGGCTCTAGAGTCCAGGAGGAATATTATTCTGAATTCCAGAGTAGAAATTCTGCTTGAAAACCCTTTGTGCCAATTTCTACGGACTAGAAACTCTTAGCTGTGTATGGGTTTTAATAGCTGAAAGTTCAAGACAGAATTATTTAATTCATGGGGAGGAGTCTAACAGAATAGATGGAGACCAGTCTAAGACTATATTTCATAATAACAGGAAATCTATCACAATGTTGCTTGTGCAAACCACAGATGTATAAATCTCATTTCCTTGGTTCATGGCTCATTCTGAAATAATATCATCTAAATACATGGTAATTGTGTAGAATGTGGATACAATCAAGACACAATTTACTATGATATTTTAGCCTGCAAATATCACTGAATTCCCCGTGTACATGTATATCAATGTTATCAATGTAGGATGAAATATCTACTTAATACTGTCTCAATAAAAATTCTTCTTTCTGTTTACCAGTATACCTAGGTGATTGAAGCAAAAATATGGTATACATACAAATATAAACATATATTCCTAAGTGTATAAGTATAACCTAGAGATTTTAACTACTAGTAATCTCAGAATTTGGTGAGTTTTAATGAACTTGGTTTCTGTTTATACTCAAAAAGAATGAAAGATGATTGGATGATGACATATCTTAGGAATGTGAAAAAGGCACATACATAAATAAAAATGATCAGTGTTCACTTTCTATCAAATGCTAGGATCTCTCTCATTTTATGGCTAAATAGTATTTCATAGTATATATGTGCTGCAGTTTTTAAATTAATTTTTCTGTTTGTGGACATTTGGATTGGTTCCATGTCTTAGTAAGTGAATAATGCTGATATAAACTTAAGTGTGCAAGTGTTTTTCAGACTGAGTGCATTCCTGTCTTTTTGGTAGGTACCCAAGAGTGGAATTGCTGAGACAGGGTGGAAAATGGCAGAGGATGGGAAATGGCAGAGATTGAGAGGGAGGGAATCAAGGGTAAAAAAGAAAGAAGTAAAACAGTTAAGAAACACAAAATAGAAAATTATTTGTTGAAGATAACAGGTATGGTAATATATTTAATTGGGCCAATATTCAGTGTATTTTAGATGGGAAAATTCATTTTGTATGCTGTAATGATATACAGTGAATGAATATAAAATAATCAGAATAAAAATTAAAAAAATAGTGTTAGTGGTGAAGAAACATTTCTTACCAATGGCTTCTAAACTAGAGTTATGTGATAAAAATTTATTCGACATATGTGTATTGAACACCTACTGTGTGCCATTTGCTCTTCCTGGTGCTAAGGATAGAACAGTGAATGTAGAGCTTCTAGTGAAGAATATTAAGGAACTCAAAGGCTTATGGAATGCAAAACAATTTGGTTAATAGCTAAGAATATGAAAATTAAAATTTTATTCACTGACATGACTAATATTTCAGACATCGAGTAGAGTTAGAAATCAATAAAGGAGTAAGAAAGAGAAGAGAAAAATAATGATATTCTCTACAATCGCTAAGGATGACATTGTCTGCAGATAATAGAGGTGCCACATTCAAAAATCGCATTTATGAGACTAGATCTCTCATGTAGAATCCCAATGTAGAAGGTTCAGGTAGTAATGGAGGCTCTGCCATGTCCTCAGGAGCTCAAACTTTGACTCACTCCTCTGCCTTTCCCAGGTGGCCCTTGTTGTCCAGACTACCCTTTCCACCCAGTGTTATTATCTATATCTCATATAGAAGAGTGGTCGAGTGGTCTCTGGGACCAGCAGATGTGTAATGGCTACACTGCTGGACTCTTATGTAGTTGACGGTGGTTCAAGTCTTGGACCCAGTGGCTTAAACTCTTGCTGGGCGTGTGTGTGCATGCCCAAGATTCTGAGAGAATAATGGAGGAGAAATGGCCATCTCCTCTGGGATATGATTTCTCGCTTTCTGTCTCTCTCTGTCTTTCTGGTGAGTGCAAATGCCCTATAGCAAAAACCCTCAAAAAAAAAAAATACTAACAACAACAACAACAACAACAACAAAAACAGAAAAGAAGAGTGGCCTCAGACGTAGCTATGTACTAGATACACTTAGGGAACTTGGAACAATCCCAACACCTGGACCACTTCCCAGATCGATTGAATCAGGCTCTGTGTGTGGGACTCAGGCAGGCACTAGGGTTCTTTAATGATTGACAGAAGATTCCAGTGCTCAGCTAAGGCTGAGAAATACTGCTGTGGAATTTAATCCTGTGACTTCATATTGCTACAGTGAAGACTGGGAAATTCAGTATTTCAGCTGGATAGGCTATGAGCCTACATAGAAATAGAGTTTTGTATATAAAGAAAAAGAACCTTGATATTTGATACAAAGTGGACAAATATGGAAGATATAATGCTAAGCAGAGCAAGCCAGACTATGAAAGAGAGTCATTGTATATCTCTGCTCAATATATACCGAATATCTATACACTGAGGCAGAAACTGAGGGATTAGAAGGTATAATAGCAGGGAGGGCAATTATAGATACTAGAGACCCTATAGGAAGGGGTGGGTAACAGGGTGAGAGGGCGGAGATCAGGGAAACAAAAAACATTTAAGGGACCAGCAGTTAGTGTAATGGCTATGTCTCTGGACTCCCACATAGCCAACCACGGTTCACGTCCTGGACCCGGTGGCTTGATGCTCACACTGGGCGTGTGTGCATGCGTGCACAAAATCCCAAGAGGAGAATGGAGGAGAAGGGATTGTGGCGTGGCTATCCCCCCCCGGGGGGTGATTCTTTCTCTCGGCTTCTCTTTGTCTGTCGGGCGAGTGCATGCGCCCTATAGCAAAACTTCTAAAAAAAAAAATTAAAAAAAATTTAAGAGACCCAAAAATGAAAAGTTATCTGTCAATGATAATATATGTGGCAATATCTTTGACTTGACTGATAAGCACTGTATTCATGCTGGGAAAAACAATTTTGTACACTGTAAAGATGTACAGTGATTAAATATAATAAATAAATAAATAAATATAAGAAAAAGGAGAAAAGGACATTGGGAGACATTTGCTGCTTCTACTACACTTTATCTATCTTCCCTTTTTTCCCCTCTGTTTTGTAGCTGTCAGGGTATACATGTAAACATGTTAAAGCCTCACATACATGCATGTACAAACATGAGTGGGTGGGACATGGGTGAGTGGGAAGCTAGAAGGAGACCCAGAAGTGAAGGGGCTAAAGAGAGTCCAAATGTTTTCAGTTTTGAAAATGGTATTAGCTGTCTAGTTGCTGTTGATAGCTCTATCATTGCTCCACAAACGTAAAAAACCAGAGACTCTCTGGAATAGGACAGAAGCTCAGTAGGGACAATATAATTCTCTTGGATGTAGCAACAGTCAGTGTTAATCTTTTTCTGATAGCAGGACTAATTAGGTCTCGCTCCTGATCTGCTCCTTGGATTCAGATTCTGACTCCTGTCTCTGTCTGTGCTCTGGATCAAAATGAAGAACGTGTGACAAACAATGCCCAATAAAGGATGATGAATTAATCACTCAATAGCAGCATTTTAAAAGCTAGCAACGTCAAAGTTGTAAACAGGTTACAAATAAAAAGTTGAAAACCTTTTTTATTTTAAAAACCACAACAGCAATATAATAAAACCCAAAACAAAATGCCAAACCTCTCTTATTTTAGGTACAACATGCCATTCAAAGCCCAGATTCAAAAGTGGGTGCAGTATCTTTCCAACTCTACAGACATCATCGAGAACTGGATGATGGTGCAGAACTTGTGGATTTATTTAGAAGCTGTCTTTGTGGGAGGAGACATTGCCAAGCAACTGCCTAAGGTTTTGAAATTTTCTGTATGATTTTATCAAGTCTTAAATTAAAGGAATATCTAAGAAATAACAATCCTATTAAAAATGCAATAATATTATAATCTCCATTGATCTCTTCCCCCCAGTTGTTTTGTTTTTCCTGTGGGTTCTGTTATTCTTCAAAGGGAGTGAGGAATTATGAAAAGGATGGGGTGATAATCAGAGTAGGAAGGCTATGAAACTGTGAGGTTAGATAAAAAATGGAGGTTTAAAAAAACAAAGAATGAGTGCCAACAAAATTGATGTGCTTGCTCAGATCGTTTGAAGGTAGCATTTGGAACAGTGTAGAATTACGGCATAGTTATCTTGACAATGGTAGTATAATTTGTTCTACTACTGACATTTAAAAATAATGCATGGTATACAATATACCCAATTATATTTGTGCTGTAAAATTGAGGGGAGGAAATTTGTGAGGGAGAAAAAAGCTCCAAAACAAAAAAGGCCTTCTCAGGATATTGAGTATATATTTTTTTCAACAAATTGTAATCATCTTACAAAGTGTGTGTGTGTGTGTGTGTGTGTGTGTGTGTGTGTGTAGTATATTTTAAGATCTTAAAGATAGTTTAACCAAAGCCAAGGATTCTTATTCAATTACATTAAATTGTTTGCAAGTTTATAACATTTTAACCATGTATTTGAGTTTTAGAAGCATGATTATGTGGACTGTTCGCTTCAGTTCAACTTTGAATTTTTCCTTTGGTTATTTTTTGGTTTAATTATAGAAGATAGTTCTGTTAACCAACTGTAAGGCAGACCATTTATTTTTTGGCTAACAGTGAAATGTATTCACAAACTACAATTTTAAGTACTGTATTTATTTATTTTTGCTTTTATATTTGTGCATGTTTTTCTTCTTGGACAGAGAAGAGTATCATTGGACTTAATAATAGAAACTCACAGAGAATGTTTAAGGAGATAAGTGGAGTTTCATGCTCTTATATTTGCTAGTATATGCTCATTGGTAACATACTAGAAAATTTAAAGGGGGAAAATAAAAATTATTCCTATACCTTCAAAATAATCTTCATTTTTCATCTTTTTCCTGAAAAAAATCTATTTAATTATTTTTTTCAAATGTTAGGGTTATACTCTGATTTTGTATCCTTATTTAAATTTATTCCCTAAATATACAACAATTCTAAGCTCAGTATAAAAATATCAAAAATCAGATAGAAAATTTAAAGTAACCCATGAAAAACTTAGGACTGTTGTTTCCTTCCAAATTATCTTCTGTTATATATTAAAATTATCTTGTGTTATATTGTCATGGTTGATTCTGCTTCTGTTTTTTCTTAACAGGGTTAAGCTAAAGATTCTTACGTAGTAAAGAGCACCATATGGTGCAAAAGGCCCGAGGAGAATTTAATTAGACTATGTGTGATATGAGGCAAATATATGCTGTATCTAGACAGGCCTCTCCCAACTGGAGGATTGGAGAGATCCTGTCATTGAGGTTGCAGAAATTCCAAGTGTACTTTGTTACCTTGTCCTTACAGGAGGCCAAGCGCTTTTCCAATATAGATAAATCCTGGGTGAAGATCATGACGCGGGCACATGAAATGCCAAACGTGGTTCAGTGTTGCGTTGGAGATGAGACCATGGGGCAGCTCTTACCACACTTGCTGGACCAGTTGGAAATATGCCAGAAATCCCTTACTGGGTAAGTTTACTGGCTGTTTGAAAGCCATCAGTATCGTAGAAGATGAAAGGCAACAGGGACACTTGGTAGCATTTGCCAAATTTGTTTTCTTTTGCTAGGACATAACTCATGTACAAAGTTGTTGTACGGATAAAACTAATAGTTGGGAGTCTGCGTTCTCTCCAAACACTAAATCCATGCTGTTGTCTGACTTAAAACTGCTTTCATAACTGGAATAACAACTTGCAGACATTTTCCTATAGGGTCCTGTTTTTTAAAATGGATGTACCTATTTTCTAATGTTCTTCTTGGATAAACACCTGCGGGACCAAAATACCTTATTATATGAAACAGAGTACAGTGTACACCGGCAGACAGCGTACATAATATCGGTCAATGCACATGGACACACACATCCTCTTAGGTGTCTGTGAGCATGACAAGTTCCAAGAGTCACTTTTTATTGTCTACTTTTCCCCTAGGGTAATTTAAATAAAACTATGCAGGTAAAAATGTCTTAATTCCCTAGAGTAATACAAATAAAACTATGCAGGTAAAAATGTCTTAAATAGTAATTTTAATTAATTATTATTATTTTTTTTTTAGTTTTGATATAGGATGCATGTACACCAGAGAGAGACAGAGAGAAAGAGAGGGGGGAAAATGAGGAGTGAAACCCCCTCACAGAAGGGTATTGTCATGTCACAGTCCCTTCTTGTTCATTCTTTTCTTAGGATTTGGGCATGCACACATACTTGCCTAGTATGTTTTTCAAGCCACCGGGTCTGGGATGTAAACCATGCGGTCGGCCATGTGGAATCCAGGTGTTTTAACCACCATGCCACCTGATTAACCTGAGTGATGTTTTCAATATTGGCAGACATGCTTATTCTGAGCATTTAACCTAAGTGATGAGATCTCTTTGGCCAGATCTGGGAGAGGGACAACCTCTCTCTCTGAATACATCTTAACATCCTCATGACCTACAATAGTGTTGTGTGAATAGTCACCTTGTACTGTTCGAAGGAGCCCAGGTCACCCAAGACATGCTTTCCTCATAGAGTGACTGTGCTTCAAATGATGCTTAAAAAGAAAAAGATTTCTGTAAATTAAATAGAGGAGTTTATCAATTTGACACCCCCCCCCAAAAAAAATCACAAAGTTGAAAATGAGAAAAATATCAACACGACACTATGTAAGTAAAAGGGATTAGTTATTTATTCTTGACTAACCAAAAATAGTTTTGTGATGGCTACTGAAAAATAATAGGTTAATGAGAGAGTTATGTCAAAGGATAACAAGGACTAGTAAACATGGTAAAATTGGTGCTGAAAAAATGTACTACCGTCTCATATTTAGAGACTAAAGGCTATGATGATCAGTTAGCCTGACCATGGCCTGACCAGTGTTTTAGGCACTAATGATTATTCCTGGCTGTAGACTTGACATAATGATCTTGCAGTCAACCACCAAGGCCAGGCCACAGAGAAAGAAGAATGGAGTTAGAATGCCTCTCTGTTGCCAGGGCCCTTAAGGATGGAAGGCCTGAAGGGCCGGAATCACTGGACCATCATGCAAGTTCAGTCACCACTGAAATCCTTGCTGAGCTACATACTTCTGGCCTATCAGGAGCTGGGTTCTTACTGTCCTCTCCCTTTTTGCCTCCTACTTGCCGTCACAGATACACACACCCCCCATCATCTATTTCTCTTTCCTCTTCAATCCTTTCTTTTTACCATAGACATACTCTGCTCTATCACTAGATATATTCACATGTCCAGCATATCCAGGGAGATTCTCTTTTAAGATAGAATTTCAGGAATGGAGTTTTTCTTTACATGACACAGCTCTGGGCTTGCAAACCAAAACAAACCAAACCAAAAAACAAAATCAGGGCTGACTTTGTGGTGTAGAGGTAATTTGCTCCCCAGGAGAACCTGGGTCTCATGTGTTGACTATGGGTCATATCCCCAGTCTGGTCAGCCTGAAAACACACAGAGCACACACCTGAGTGCCTGAGACCCAGTGGGCTGGAGAAAGGATATCATGGCATGACCAGACTGTGTGGAGGGTGCTGTTCTCTCTCACACATGTGCATGCATATGACCTATCACAAATAAAGAAAACAATTACAAGCAAAAAACAAAACCCAAATCTACCTTTGTCTATTTTATCCTACTCCTTACAAAGGAAGTACAAGATTTTCCAGACTAAACAAAGTGTACACGTTAAACTTAGGGAAAATGAAATCCTGTCATCAATTCTGAAAGAAAATAATTTCTTCTCCAGAATATGGACTGTTATTGGACAAAACTCTGAACAAATCAAAAAACCCAAAATGTAGAAAACTCATGTGAGAACAGCAAATGTCCACACAATCATTCCTCCTTTTTCCCATCTAGGTTAATTTATTCCTAGAAATGTTGGCTTTGTGTGTTTATAAAATTTTATATTTTCCTTCCCTGTTTAGATACTTGGAGAAAAAACGGCTTTGCTTTCCTCGGTTCTTCTTTGTTTCGGATCCTGCCCTTCTGGAGATTCTGGGGCAGGCGTCTGACTCCCACACCATACAAGCCCATTTGCTGAATGTGTTTGACAATATTAAAACTGTCAAGTTCCATGAAAAGGTTTGCCTACTTCTCATTACTGGCCAGCAATTGCCATCCCTTAGAACCTCAACTATCTTTATTAAATAGTTTCTGGAACTGGATTACAAAAGGTTACTTCCCAATCCATGAACCCTTGGTCAAACGTCGGGGCCCAACCTACTTTCAGAAATGTGTGATTTCCTAAGTATTTGTGTAGATTTGAAGAAAAAAATGATAGTTTAAATATGAATAAGAATTGTATGTATCATTCATGGTTTTTTTATACCAAGTTAGCTTCTTAGAAATCCAACTAGACAAAGAAACCAATTGCTTATAAAATAGTGCCTGACGAAGCAGAATTGTCAGCTATTTGGTGTCTTAGTCAGGTTTCAAAAATTTCCAGCTTGCTGTATTACAACATCTTTTTTTAACACTCCCAACTTGTTTCCAGAATCATAGAGTTGTATGGGACCCAAAAGAGGTCATTCAATTTGAGGGAGACTATACTTACATAGCTGCCAAAAGAGATTGTCTAATCCATCCCTTCACCCAAAATTTCCTAGGAGAGTAATTCTTCTTGTTTGCTCTTGTATTCATTTCTCCTCTGGTGCTTCTTGATTTTTCAGTAACATTTAACATTCATTTTTTTTAAATCCTGGTGTGCAGTATACTGAGAAACGTCCATGTGCTAGCTGTCATGCTTAACAGTGGGAATATCCCAGCCTTGGGGAGATCGTGTTCTGGTGGAGGAGACAGAGAAGCAGACGAACAGTCTACAGAGTACATTTAGTGCAGTGGTAGAGTTACTCTATGGTAAGCAGTTAGGGACAGTTAAGGTCAAGTCTTGCTACATGTCCAACATGATCCTGGTCCGGGGGTTCCCAGGAAGACTGTGTTAGAGGCAACACTGAAGTTGTTTCACACAGTACAATATTCACAAGCAATCCTATGGTTGTTTCACACAGTGTAATATTCACACTCAATCCCAGATCACCTTGTTGATAATTTTGGATGTATATTTTTATTGTGCTTCTACGAAGCACAAAGGATATGCAGGTGTCCATCATGGTCCAAGAGTGAGGCTTTTCATTGTCTCAGGCTGTCTGTTGAAGATGATTTAAGCTTCCTTCTTGCTGAGTAAATGCCCACAGAGTTTTAGCCTCTGTTTATAACAATTCTCAGGACAGTGTTTCTTTTTTCTTTTTTTTGTTGCTCCTGCCATAAGTTGTCTACAATGAGGGGCAGATCCTGATTTTGTGAGTTCTAAACCTTATAATATCGTAAATCTATATTTATATTCAGGACCTTGGGAAGGGTTCAAGTAAGTCAGGGGCCCTGAAACTTAAGACTCAGTAGCTTCTTTGTGAATCACATCTGTCTACAAGTGAGGAGGATTTTCTTTAGTTTTGTTGCCCCTGCCATAAGTTGTCTACAATGAGGGTCAGATCCTGATTTTGTGAGTTCTAAACCTTATAATATCGTAAATCTATATTTATATTCAGGACCTTGGGAAGGGTTCAAGTAAGTCAGGGGCCCTGAAACTTAAGACTCAGTAGCTTCTTTGTGAATCACATCTGTCTACAAGTGAGGAGGATTTTCTTTAGTACAATGCTCAATCTGAACCCAAAAGAGCAATGTTCCATTTGACCAAAGAAGAGAAACAACAACAAACATCTGTATTGACTTTAGAGTTTGTGATATTTTCTTTAATGGTCATGAATAGCCCATGAGTTGTATAGGACAGGCATGAGTAAGCATGGTTTCTTAAAAAATATGCTATAGGGTATTTGTGCTTACCAGAGAAAGACCAAAGAAGAAAAGAAAAAGAAACTGAGAAAACAGCTCCAATGGGGGATGACTATGCTGCAGTCCCATCTCCTCCATTCTCATCTCATGATTTTAGGCATGCAGGCACAGGCACCCAGCCTACTTTTTAAGCTGCTTGGTCTAGGACTTTAACTGGAGCTGGTTGTGTGGGATCTAATTGCCTTAACCACCAGGCCACAGCTGCCCCCAGGCATTGTTTTTAATGAATAATTATAGGCAAGAAACTTAGTCTCCGCGATGGCATACTGCATGGTCAGTGGATGGAAGAGGGCCATTGGAACCTATATCTTATCACTTCCAATATATGCTCTTCTCATTGAGGCAGGCTGCATGGAAACTGAGCAAAATGCCTAGAATAGGAGCTGGGCTTGAATTAAAAAACCTTATGAGCCACCAAGAAATCCTGAAAAGACTACTATATTTGGTACAGAATTGGAATTACCTTGTACAGTTTGCACTGATAATATTATGTAGGTCATTTTTAATGTCAACTTGATAATTTTGTGGTTTGGAACAACTATGACATCTCTTAGAGAGTCCCATTTCATTTAAGAAACTTCAGAGATTTTTTTTCATATCACATTGGTATTAAATATTTCTTTTAGAAAATAAGTTTTTCTGCTTAGAGTATAGACTATTTAGAATTGATTTAGCATTCCCTTTTAGATTTCATGACTACTTTTTATTGATTTAAGCATTGGTTTTATATCATATCTTGCCTTATGATTTATAATCTGCAGCTTAATTTAAAAAATATTTAATTTTATTTATCATTATTATTATTTTTAATCTGTTATAGGAAATGTACATTCATGAGAGAGAGAGAGAGAGAGAGAGAGAGAGAGAGAGAGAGAGAGAAAATGAGAAAGCAAGATGATGAGTCCAGGACTTGAACCATAGTCAGTCATGTGAGAGTCCAGTGCCTTAACTATCACATCCCCTCTGGCCCCATGTAGCTTAATTTATTGTGGGGTGTGTCACATTGATGAAATGGGAATGGAGGAAAAGCCAAAAAAATTACTTTTCTTTTTTTATAACTGTGAAATTATTTTTTTAAAATTTTGCTTATTTCTAACATAGATCTATGATCGAATTCTGTCAATTTCCTCTCGAGAGGGTGAGACAATTGAATTGGCTAAACCTGTGATGGCAGAAGGCAATGTGGAAGTTTGGCTTAATTCTCTCCTGGAGGAATCTCAGTCCTCATTACATCTTGTGATTCGCCAGGCAGCTGCAAATATTCAAGAAACAGGTTTCCAACTGATTGAATTTCTTTCTTCTTTCCCTGCTCAGGTCAGTGTATTGAAATTGGAAAGTATTTTTATACATTAGTCATCTTAAATCTCAGACATTTACCTATTGTAAGCTTTATAAGTGGCTATAATTTAACTCTGGCCAAATACTAAGATTTTCTTAAGGGATCATTAAATATAGATAAGCTTAAAGATTTCAACAACAGATTATTGGTCATATACACATGTATTTAAGTTTTTATCTGTTTCATAGAGATATTCACTCTATTTTATAAGTTAAAAGAATTTTTTTTTCCTACTTAACGTTCTATGTAACAAGATACATAAATTTTAAAAACGCACTGAGTGGATACTTTTCTAGAACAACAAAAAAAGTGTTTTACCATTAAAATACAGGAAATACTATTTTCGTAGTGATTGTGATCAATAATGATTTTGGAGTATCTACTGTGTGTGAACACTGAGCTAATGTGAATAAAGCAAGTTTAAGACACAACCCTTTTTTTTTTCTTTGCTGGGGGGTACATGAACTTGCTAGAGAGACTGGGGTGGGTAGGAGGAGTGAGAAAGCACCCCACATGGGGATTGATCATGCCATAATACCTTCTCCAGCTCTCCCTCCTTTCAGAATTTTGAGCATGCACTCACCTGTACTTGGCATGTTTACAAGCTGCTGGGTCCCAGATTTGAACCATGTGGTCGGCCATGTGGAATCCAGCTCACATAATCATCAGGCCATGGGCTGGCTTCATATTCTTTATTTTTAAAATGAATTTTTGTTGATTTCTTCCATGAGAGAAAAAGAGTGAGGAAGACGGTGGGGGAGAGAGGTTTGAGCATGCACTCACCTGTACCTGGCATGTTTACAAGCTGCTGGGTCCCAGATTTGAACCATGTGGTCGGCCATGTGGAATCCAGCTCACATAATCATCAGGCCATGGGCTGGCATCATATTCTTTATTTTTAAAATGAATTTTTGTTGATTTCTTCCATGAGAGAAAAAGAGTGAGGAAGACGGTGGGGGAGAGAGGAGCAGATAGGTACCCATCACAGAGTCCCCACATTGCAATGCACCCCAGTCTTGGCCAGCCAGGTTGTGGGCACATGTACCTGCTGTGCACAGGGAGGCCTCGAGACACAAACCTGGGGCCTTCCCACTTGGCCTCAGCATTATGGAATATTGTGTCCCTTCTGTGCTACTGTGGCTAGCTAAGACACTCACACACACACACACACACACACACACATACATTACTGGCTGGATTTTAATCTCTAAGTAACTTAAATATCTATCTAGGGAGAAATGTGATAATAAGTTAAAATTATAAGAAAATATTATAGACACATCATGGGGCTCTAAGTATTTAATCCAGATGAACAGTATGAATAGGGTTTCTGCAGGTTACTAAACAAGGTTTCCAGTTGATCTAATCAAGGCTTTATATTTGCATAATATGTACTATTCATTATGCTATAATTTCTATTTACACATATAAATGTGTTGTACATGCTCATAAAGTCTTTTTTAATTCCCATAAGGTGGGATTATTAGGAATTCAAATGATATGGACACGGGATTCAGAAGAAGCCCTTAGAAATGCCAAGTTGGATAAAAAAGTCATGCAGAAAACCAACCAGTCTTTCCTGGAGCTTCTAAACACACTGATAGCCATCACAACGAAGGACTTGACTTCTGTGGAGCGGGTGAAATATGAGACTTTGATTACCATTCACGTGCACCAAAGAGATATCTTCGATGACCTGGTAAATTCTTTATAAATGTGGTGGCATATGTAGAAAAGCAAATACTGGCCACTCTGTTTACTGGCTGGAGTTAGTTTGACTGAATTGAAGGAAAAGGTTAAATTCAGGCAAAGAACCATCTTCATGATCAGTGATTGTCAAATTTTCAATCTTTAACTAAAATTTCAGTCCCATTCAGATGATCTATACTGTGTTATTGAGGCAATTAAGCCTTATTTGATGAATCTAGCATTAAAATACATGATTATTTTAATGTTGAAATGTCAAGTAGCATCCTAAACAGCTTTCCTTTGATTGTACTCCTTTTGTTAATTGAAGTTCACTAGTTTCCCGTTACAAATGATGTCACATCACTAGGAGAGTGGTTTAGAACTTCCTTTAAGGCTTTTGATAAATCACATCCTTAACAAGTTTTGCTCCACTTTACATCAATGATTGCAAATGGTCTTTCTTAATATAGCTTGTGACATTCAGGTGTCGTGCAGAGTTTTGCCTTTGAAGAGAGAATGGGGTGCAGAGAGAGCGTTCCGTAGCTATAGAAAATGGGATATGTGACAAGAAAGGAAATTTGTCCTTTACTATAAAGTACAACATTAGATAAGAGGCAAGAAGCTCTTATTTTCATAATAATCTTCTGGATTGTGTCTCACCCCATTATGTAAAAATGATTATGAAAGATTGGTCCTGATGTAATGAAAATGAAAGCAGCACATTCAAGCTATTGTGTGCTAATCTCTTCTTGGTACTAAGCACTCTGTTTGCCTTTCTGAGAAATATCAGGCTGTGGGTAATTTTAGGTTTTTTTTTTTTTTTTCAGAGATTTTTGCTATAGGGTGCATGCACTTGCTGGAGAGACAGAGAGAGACGGAGAGACAGAAAGGGAGAAATCACCCCCAGGGAGGGATGGCCATGCCACAATCTTTTCTCCCCTATATCCACTCAGGAGATTGTTGGTACACACTCATGCACCCAGTGTGAGTTTTTAAAACTTTTTTAAAAATAATTTTATTTCCATTTATCCTATACATATAATCATATATGTCACTTAGCTTCAAAGTGAATATTCTAACATGTATACATTTCTCACCAATCCAGCTGAGATTACTATACACATTATCTTCAACAGATAATAACCCTTTATTTGTCCCATAATGCCTTGCTTCTCTATATTTCTCCTAAATGTCCTTCCTCAGACTCTTCTCCTTCTCCTACCCTCTTCCCACATGGTGTGAGTTTTAAGTCACCAGATCTGGAACTCAAACCGTGGTCGACTCATGGGGGTAGTAACCATTACAGTATCTGCTGGTCCCTAGATTTTTTTTTTTTTTTTTTTAAGATTTAAAAATCTTTTTTACATTAAAACTCAGGCCAGGCCTAGGACTCATACTGTGGTCGACTATGTGGGAGTCCAGCAATGTAACCATTAAGCCATCTGCTCATCCCCTACAGATTATATTTTATGGTGAGAACTATGGAATTGGGAATTTAAGGGTAAAAATGAAGAAATAAATATCTTAGTAATGAAATACATAATGCCATTTAAATTGGAGAGGTGTAATTAGGGATTTCTCTTGAATTTTTCTGTTTTCCTGTCTTCTGGAGTTTCTTTCTGTTGATCAGTAAACAAATGGGTTGGATAATCATAGAGTGGACATCTCTGAACTAGTTGGGTGGTCTTTGAGTTTCATTTACTTCATTTTATGATCTACTCCAATGCTAAATATCTATTTAATAAATGGTTCTTGTCTCATTTTCAACATATACCTTTTGCATTTCAGTGTCACATGCATATCAAGAGCCCTATGGACTTTGAGTGGCTGAAGCAGTGCAGATTTTATTTTAATGAAGATTCTGACAAGATGATGATTCACATCACAGATGTGGCTTTCATATACCAGAATGAATTTCTAGGCTGCACTGACAGGCTTGTCATAACTCCACTCACAGACAGGTGATGGCAGTACCCTGTGATTCCAATCCTCCAACCCTGCCACTTTTTTCCTCTCAAGTTGCTCCAGGGAATTTTGCTTAATGTATCTTCAGGGTTTAGAGACTCTTTTATATAGAAATCTTTGAAATGTAGTATTTTTAGCTTTACACCTGTGTCTTCACATGGGGTGTAGGTTTTTGACTGAAACAGACTGCTTTCTTTGCCTTTAGTCTTATAGAGGTAAAGTTTAAATGCCTTCATTGAATGGGTAAGAAAGGGAATTAATTGTGGGTGTCATGTGCAAATCACAGTGGACCTTGAGAGTGGCTTTAGTCATTACAGAGAGGCAGTGTGTGTATGTGTGTGTGTGTGTGTGTGTGTGTATACATTTATATATATATATATTTATATACATTTATATATATATATATATATATATATATATATATATATTTAAAGAAGGACAGAAATTGA